AGTCATATGAGGTAGAGTGAGAATCTGATACAGGTCTCCTCGACTCTGCTCAGTCTATCATGTTATTCTTGGAGAACCAGTTTAACATACAGTTGGTATTACAAAGGCACCAATTCAGGGCGAAAATTCATGGAATGAACATTCCTTGTCACTTAGCATCTTATCAACCTTTCCACCTGGTTACTGTGGAGCCAGGCTTGCTTGGGCACTTGGCTCACGTTTTTCTCTTAACTTCCTCTCAGTCCCTTCAATGGACACATATCTCTTAGGCCTCAGTGTCCCCTGACCCCATAAATTCCGATGACCTTAAATCTCTGCACCGCTTTGCCCACCAGTGTCCATTGGCATGCTAGATTTAATTGTTACCTGGAACCATTTCACTTTGGAAATAATCATAACCAAAGGCCTCTTGGCTTTTTCACTCCTTGATCCTATAACCACTGATCTTTAATCTCCTATATCGCTCCTCTTTCATCTGTCATCTTAATCCAGTCTATTCTTTTTTTTTTTTTTTTATTCCTCACCCAAGGATACTTTTTTATTTATCAGATAGAGTGGGAGGGAGGGAGAGAGAGAGAAACATCAATGTGATAGAGCCACACTGACTGGTTGCCTCCTGCACGACCTGATTAGGGTCAGGGACGAACCATAACCAAGGTACGTGCCTTTGACTGGAATCAAACCCGCGACTCATTGGTCCTCGGGCCGACGCTCTAATCACTGAGCCAAACCAGCCAGGGCCAGTCTATCATTCTTTTCAAACTCACAGTCTGGTTTCTATGATTGATGATTATTCTATGATATATTATTATTCTATGATGTATTATTCTCCTTGCACATTTCTCAGCAAAACTCCAAATTTGGACCTGTGTTATGTCCCCCCCCCCCTACACTTGAGGGGTTAAATGTTGATGGAGAAGATCACATAATCCTGCAGACTCCATTATTACAAATCCGTGATCTCTAACTTCTAACCTCGGCCAGGTTCTCAGCATCACTCAGAAATCCTGTGTTTAATTTTCAACTTCCAAAGTTCATCTTTCCTAATGACTATTCCAAACCTTCACCACCTTACTCAAGCATCCTTTTCAAGTCCCACATCTTAAGTTCAGTGAACAGCATTCTCTCTAAATTCATCAGGATAATCGAGGGCTTTATTATTGCAGTTTTAGAGATCCAGCCTTGGCCACAACTTTCTAGAGTTCCATATTTTTCCTGAGGGATTACTTGTACTTTCACTTCTACTCTGTGCTGATGGCTTTCCAATCTATATCTCAGCCTGGACTTATCTGTCTAGTGGAAACCTGTACTTGGAGGTTCCACGGACATCTCAAATTCAAAAGGTTCAAGATTGAGCACGTCATTGTTCCCCTAAAACCTGTATCTCCTGCGGAGCATTACTCTTTTCCCAGGTACTAAAAGGGTAGACAGCATGACCGCCATCTATTCAGGCTAGAAGGCTGATGTCATCCTTGAGTCCCCCCCCCCCCTTCTTTACCTTCACATGCAATCAATTTCCAAGTCCAATAGCCTCTTGTTTCTGGAATTTCCCTTCTCTTCTCGGTCCTTACTACTACTGTCCCAGTTCAGTCTCTTGATCCAACTGGACTGCCAGGACTGTTTTAGAAGCTTCCAGATTTTTTTTACCTTAGGGTTGGTTCCCTATTCTCATCACTGCTGCTAGGTGATCATTTTAAACACAAATCTGACCATACCACACTTACACTTAAAACTGTGCACTGGCTCCCCATTGCCTACAAGATAAAGCCCCAGCTTCTTGGCATGACATGCATGACCGTCGGTGATCTGAATTCAGTTTCCTTCTGCAGCGCCTTCATTTACCAACCCCTACTTGGCTCCTTATACTTCAACCATCAGGGAAAGCTTGTCGTTCCTTAGAACTGCCTTGTTGTGTCTTGCTTCCATGTCTTTATTCATAATGTCCCCTTTGCCTTGACCTTCCTTCCACTGCTTCACCTTGACTTGGCCAGCTCCTACTGTCCTTTAAGGCTATGTTCATGGCTCAACTTTTTGGGGAAGACTTTCGTGACAAGCTGCTCTCCCCAACCCTAAAACTCCAGACAGGCCCTGGCCGGTTTGGCTCAGCGGTTAGAGCGTCGGCCTGCGGTCCTGAGAGACCCGGGTTCGGTTCCCGCTAAGGGCACATACCTCGGTTGCAGTTTGTCCCCGGCCCTGGTCGGTTGTGTGGGTGGCAGCCACTCGATGTGTTCCTTTCACGTCGATGTTTCTCTCTCTCTCTCTCTCTCTCTGTTCCTCTCTTCCCCTCCCACTCTACCTGAACAAAAATGGAAAAATGTCCTCGGGTGAGGATAAAAAATAAATAAATAAATAAAAAAATAAAACTCCAGACAGGATTAGCAACAGTGCCCTTGTACTCCCATGGCCCCCCTTCATTGTGCAGATGTCTCAATGTACTTATCCATTTGTGTGTCTGTTTCACAGTTAGATTGTGGACTCTTCGAAGCTTGGGACTGTGTGGTATTTCTCTGTGTATCTCTTTCCCAGCAGTGGAATAGAACAGGTGCTCCATAAATACTTGTAATAGAGTACATGTTGAGCAAATAAATGATTTACTAATGAAAAATTATTTTACACCTGAAATGACTCTTACACTTTACAAAGGAATAATTGGTATTAACAAACATCGTGATTATTTCTCGTTTGATTACAAACAATAGACATAGTGATATTCAAATGGCACTGTGAGATTTGGGGGTGCCCAGAATCAGTGGGGACCTAAGAGTGGAATCTGGACGTGTCTGCAGTGGTGCTGCTGTGGTAGGGGACAGCTAGGATGCTTGCAGAGTGCCACAGAAACCTGCAAGGCTTCCATTCCATTCACACAAAACCCTCATTTCAGTGAAACCCTCCACGTTGACAGGACATGGAGGGTTTGCTGAATGAAAAATCATTTATTATAATTTGTTAAGAACATATGGATTCTTGGTTTGAATAAGTAAAAAATGGAACAATGGAGAACAAACTAGAATTAAGTTATTTTCTCCCTGATCCCATACTGACTTTTTAAGGACCTAATGCTTTCACCAAGATCCTGGTTCCAGCTAAAGCAGAAAGCTAAGCTGTTTGAACACTACTACACTTTCAAGGCATTTCTTTGTGAAAATCAAGTAAAAAGGAAATTCAGCACTGAGTGTTTTTTAATTTCAGATATCATCAGGGTCCCTTTTGTAGTTAAACTGATAATAAGTAAGGATGTTGATTTTAAAAACGAGCTAACAGCTAATAGTAATTATTATTAGCTAGAAGTCACAGTACTCAAATGGTTACTCAGTGGCAGGTTCTTTACACTAAGTATTGAGGGGGATAGAAGTTTTGCCACCCCAAAATGTGCCTTTTGGGATATTGATTTTAAGCTGGTTATTAAGAAAAGAAGAAAAAAAGACTTAGAACCCTTGACCATCCTCCTTTCTGCCTAAAGGAATTCAGATAGAACAACATGCTTCAGGAAGGGAACCTTAGTAATGTCACCTTAGCAGATTCACCTTGGCACCTATGAATTAAATGTGGCAGATAGGAAGAAATCTAGCAAAGTCTGTTTGTTGAACTTCCTTGTGTATGCCATTGTTCTGGGTTGCCCCGAAAGAACTTGTTTACCAACATGTCCACCTGTGAATTACCTGCTTTCCTTTTAGAATCCCAGACTCCTGCCCCACCTCCTTTGCCCAAAAGGGCACATAAAACCTCAATTGCCTAATGTATCTTCGGGTCTCATATCTCATAGCACCCCTGCATGTACATTCCTAGTAAACTTTGGACATTTCTCCTGTTGATCTGTCTGTTACATTTATTAGCCCAGGTTGGAGAACTTAGGTGGGAAGAAAGTTTTTTCAGCACCCCTCACCGTATCATACTTATGCTTCACGACCACCTTTTAAATAGAAATCTTTTTTTTTCTTTCTTTCTTTTTCTGTTTGAATAACTGAAGTTCCGTGAAGTCAAATAACTTGGGGCAGGTCCAAGGACCAGTTGGTTAGACTGGGGCCAAAGGCCACGCTGGTTTCCCCAGGACCGAGGCTCTCTCCCAGTCTGTCTTGTTGTCCGCTGGCCTGACTGTGAATGCAGGAGGGTAGGTTGTGGAACCAGGTGCAACTGCGGAAGAAACTGACCACTGAAAGGAATGAAAAGGCGAAGGAACCATAGCGGCCAGGAAGCTAGAACCCAGAGACATCCACCAGGTAGGAGTGGAGACAGACAGATCTCAGAGGGAAGGGTTGCGAGGGGGTCTGTAAGAGACAATCAAGGAACATATATGCATAGCCCATGGACACAGACAGTAGTGTAGTGAAGGCCTGGGGTGGGGCGGGAGCTGGGTGGAGGGGAGCAGAAAGGGGGGCGGGGAGAGTGGGGGACATCTGTAATAGTGTCAAGGAAAAAACAGAGTGGAGGACAGGTCTTGAGCGTCTCCGAAAACTTAGGGGCGGGACTTGGGCGGGACGCCGGGGGACGTGCGGACCTTTGTGGACGGCTGGAACTGCCGCCTCTCCGGGGACCTTTAGGGGAGGAGAGAGTAAGTGCAGGCCTGTGGCAATCTCCGTGAGTTGCAAAGGCAGCTCCTCCTCACCTACCCTAAACCAGAGCAGAGACTTCACTCTGCTTCTCTGGAGTGGCGTCCCTGTAGACAAGCAGGAAGGGGACTGGAGACGGCCCTGCACATGGTGCCCCCTCCCTCGCAGATTGGTACGTCCCGTCCCCCCCGCCGTGGGACTGGCGGCTGCGCGCGCACCCTCAGGCGGGGCGGGGCGGGGCGGCCTCGTGGCGCGTTCCCGTTCCGCCGGGTTACGCGTCCGCGCGCCTAGGCCTGGGCGGGCAGGCGCAGCCACGGGAGCGCGCCCCGTGACTCCGCCCCGCCCCCTCCCCCGAGTCCCGGGTGCGCGGCTTGGCGCAAAGAGAGCGGGGACCCGCGCCCCCGCCCCGCCCCCGCCTGGCGCGTGGAGGCCGCTCGGATCGCTGTCGCCGCCGTAGCCGCCCGCGCGGGATGACCTGGGGCGGCTCTGGGAGCCGGCTGCCGCGAGAGATCTGGGGGCTCCGCCGGCCCGCCGAGAGGTGCGGGGTGGTCCCGCCGCGGGGTCGGGAGACGGGCGGTCGCGTTGGGCTGGGGGCGCGGGGTCCGGGGCTCAGGCGGGGTCCGGGGACGCTGGGCCGCCCCGCGGTGGAGGGCGGGGTGTCAGTGACAGGGACGCGCTGGGCAGGTGGGACGAACCTGGCGGAGAGCAGGGACGCCCGCGCTCCCCAGGGAACGGGGGTCCCCGCCCCTCAGCTTCCACCGGCAGGGCGCCCGCGGGACGGCGATTTCTGTGGGGTGAGCAGGAGAAATGCCCTGGACAATGTATCTTTCTGTGCTGTCACCGACGCCCTGACTTCCCAGCCCCGGGAGTTCATTTTCCTTCTCCATAAGCTTTCTGTGGGTTGCATGATCATTTCTCAGTACACTGCAGCTGGCTATTTATTTCAGCCTGCAGCTTCCAGACCTTTGTTGCTTTCTCTCCACATCTAGGAATTTCAGCCATAAATCACTGAGGGGGGTCGAGGGACTCTGTCTTCCCTTCATTGTTCCTCCGAACCCCAGCACGTCAGGTGGGAGGCTGCCCAAAAGGAGCCCTTCTCCAGAATGCCTGTCTTTCCTGGCCGGGACTACAGAGGGTGGCAGGTGCTTTAAGGGCAGGCTGTTTTCCAGCTGAGATCTAGAATTTAGAGACCCTCATTAACGGAAAGGCAGCCTCGGTGCCCTAAATCAGACACCTTGAGAAACAGAAGGTTGGACTAAAAAGTAACGTGAGATTTATTCTCAGTCCAGTGGCCAGTAAAGATGAAAGAGGTCAACTCTGATTCCATCCTCACTCATACCATAGCCCTCAGACTCTCAGCTGACACTTGGCGTTACCAAGTGGACAGGGTCTGGGAGGAGGAGGGGGTAGAGGGGTGGAAATGAAATGGGTTTGTTCTTAGTATAATTCTAAACATTCGATTGCATTTTAGAGCTCATTTTTGTTGAGTAGTCTATTTTAGCTGAAAATGGGAGGGGGTAGTTCAACTTTTAGAACAAGATGAAAGGAAACTTCAGAAAATTTCTGGAAATTTTAAATTAGTGCTTAACTAGAAAGCATTCTTAGGAACCCAGAGAGGCACCAAATACTGTAGTTTCTGTTATGCACATGTTGAAATAAACTGCCTCATACTTTAAGTTATATGAGAAGAATGGAGTGAAAACCTGTTTCATTTTGTGAAGACCTGCCCTAGCTATGTGTTTGGCAGTATATAGAACAGAAACGTTTATATTTCTATAAAAAACACAACTGCATATTGTTTAACTTTCATGCAAAAACTCGGATATAGTATTTGGGAAATCTGACATTGTTTGAATAGTGTAGTCAACCAGGAAAATCAGTTACTAGAGGTACTGTGCTTGTGCAGTAACTCACTTGGGCTGCTTTGATTGATTGCTATGGTTCTCATCAACCTCCTTTTCCGTGGACAGTACTTAAATAGCTCTACTTCAAGTCAGGAGGTATAAAGAACTACTGGGACTTGGAGCACACTGATCTAACCTGTGTAGGTTGGGTTCTGTATCATTCTTACTCCTTACTTGCTTTGCAGGTGGTTTGGCTTTGCATGAAAGAAATTGAGCTCACTTTAAAATAGCACCCCCCCCCCCCCCCATCTTCAAGGAATAGATAGATGGAAGGCTTTGTGTGGGAATGGCAGCTTCTGTCTTAGGACTCTAAAGAGGTCAGGTAAAACTTGTTGACTAGTTCTTGTGCTTGCCTATTGTTTTTCCCTTTGCCCTTACGACTTTCTAGACTATTTCATTCATGGTTTTGTCAAAATAAAAGTTGAAATAAAATTTTCCTTCTCTAGAAATCTTTCTTTCGCAGACATTAGACCAAAATTTGGTGATTGTTTCTAAGTAAAATCCCGGGGAAATGGTTTCAGCAATTCAACATTATCTTAGTGAAATCAGTCTGGGGATAGGAAATTAAAAATAACTAATTAAAAAATTTGTCATTTATAACACTTAATTACATTAGATTTTGCCCTGTTATTAGCATTTGTACTACGTAGACGTGTAGGTAAGAACACATCAGAAGAGTAGATGAGTTGTCCACCAGGTAGTATTTAGACAGATGATCTTACCACTTAATAGCAACTAATTAGATTAGAAAGGGAATTTGGAGTCTGGTTGCTAAATGGATTGCTTTGAAGAACTTGATTTATAGTTTTTTGATTGGTGCTTTAAGCCAAGAAATTTTTGTTTACTTGGATTGAATTAGAGAAACAGTAAAACTACTGTTTTTATTTAAAATTGTATATTGTGTGTAAACATTCTATTTATAAACATTTCATTTATAAATTTTGTATATATGGCACTAATTCACTTTCAAGAGAATAGGGAGAAGGGCTTTACTTGATTCTTTTCAACTAAAATTAAGTGTATGGAATATACTTAATGTCACTTTAAAAGTATTGGATTACAATTAAATAAAAAAACTGGCATGTTAGTTTTTTTTTTTTTTTTAATCCTTCAAGTTTTCCCTCGTTGTTTGTGCTCTTTCCCCCATTGTCAGGCTTAAAACATACAGTATCATCATCATCTGTCCCCTGAATAATGGTCCTGAGGTGATATTATTAATGTGGCTTTTTAAAATCAAACTAATTATACTTGCCTAAAAGAGCCACATGTGTGTGATTCTAGCTGCCTGGTGCCTTTTGAGAGCCCTGGAGACAAGCTAGTGAATAGAGCTGAAAATTCATTCTGTATTTGATTAAATGGAACAGACTCGCTGCTCCTTACCCCAGCAGGGGCTATGAGATCTCTTGATCCCCGAAGCGGCTCCAAGACCCTGGGAATTCCATTAGCGAGCACCTGAGGAATTTCTGCCCTGCAGTGCCTTTTTTGTATGTGTGTATGTGTGTGTGTGCAGAGGGAGTGGAGCAGAGTGATGAGGGGGGAGTGGAGGAGGGGGCGGAGAGAGGCTACATTAGAAGACTCCATATGTTAGCAGATCTAAAATCAAGGCATGACTTAACAGTTTATCTCATGAGAGAAGAGCCCAACCCAAAAGCAGATTGCTGGTCAGGACTCTTTCGAGCAGGACTCTGGTGGTGTGTTTTTAGCACTGAAGTGAACGCCACTGTAAAGCACAGAAAGTCACTTCTCTTCTCCTCCGAAGCACAAGCATATACACGTTGCAGATTTGGTAAGTTTTCTCTGATTGTGATCTATTGATACATATGTAAAATTGGGTTACAGTTTGGTCTTGCCTGGAAGGGTGGATGTATTGTTTCAGTCACTTTTTAATCTGAGAGCCAAATCTGACTTTTGTATGAAGCAAATCGTTTTTGCAGAGGTGAAATGCTTTTCAACAGGCATATTTTAGTTTGCTCTTTTGTTTTTATATGGTTTTATTGTGTTTTTGTTATGTTACAGAATTTAAATCCATTCAGGTTGTGTCTGTCTTCTGTTGTCTTTTAAAGAATTTCTTTCTGATTTCTAATATATTTTTAAGGAATTGCTTTGCAGACTTGCTAGCAGCTGCAAGTAAATGAAAATATATCTACTAGAAATATTCTGTAAGAATTTTTGGAGCAAAATTTTTGGGAAATATTAGTGTATCTTCCTCCATTTGCCCCTCCTCCCCTAACCCAAATAATTTTTGGATACATTTTTCACAGTATTAGCCCAGTTTATTTCTTGTGTACTTTTCAAGGAAGAGTAGTTCTGAATCTTGGATGGTGTAGTTAATTGATTTTCATCTTTTGAGAATAGTTGAACATGAGTCCGAATTTCAGTGCTTGTAAACTTCAAGTAATGCAGAAGAATGCAGTAGCTTCTTTGATGGTTAATTTGATATTTTGTTCCCGATTAAAATCATGTTGTAGATCACAGTTCTTTTCCATGCTATTATCATGTAGTCTTACCAAATTCTTCTCACAATAAAGAGTGTTTAGAAAATAAAGAAACCTTTTAGAGAATATGTTTAATTTTTTCCCCCCACTTTAATCCTGGGCATGTCTTCTACTAGTATGGCCAACTTGAAAGGACTCCTGAATGAATTGGAGTAAACACTGAAGTTAGCATTGTGCCTGTCTTGGTTCATAGTTGTTCAGTTGCTTTGCTGTGTGATGTATTTTGATAGCCACAGATAATAAAAAAAAACTACCCCAAAGAGTATTTTTTCCTACATATCAGTTGGAATGTGAGTAGGGACTTCAGTTTGTGAGAGCCAGTGATGCATCTCTAATCATAGAATTAAGGAACCTTACTTGAGAGGACAAAAAAAATACAGGTTATGCATTCTGCTCCTGTTTTGTTGCTTGTAACCGTGTGCTTGAGTTTTTATATTACCCTAATACAAAAAGGGAATTAAGAAGTTGACATCTAGCTTGCTCCTCAGCTATTCTTATTACAGACTGGCTCACCTCTTTATTATGTGAGCCTGCACAGTGATCTTGACCTAAGCTTTGGTTTTCTGCTCTACAAAATGGGGATAATAACAATAGTATCTCTTACCACTGTTTAGGGATTACAAGAGATAATGTAAGTAAAGCGCTTGGCATATGGAAAAACCTCTGTGAATGTTAGCTGCAGGTATTTTAGTAATTCATCCTGTACATTAGTCTGTTACTTTGATCCAGAAGTGATTTCTTCAAAGTACTAAATAATGAGGAATTCTCAGAAGTGAGGAATAGTGTGGACACATGTAACTGCTGTAGTTTCAGTGTGCTTCCGTTTTCTTCATTATGCAATTGAAACTTGAAAGACACTTGGAAACAATGTGTTGCATTTTTTTCCAATTGAGGTATAATATAGAAATGTACATAAGCATACATTGAAGGTACACTAAGTGAACAGCTAGATGAAGTTTTACAGACATACCCACCTGTGGTAATCAGTGCCCAGATCAAGATGTAGCAGCTTTCCTTTACCTCAGACCTCCTGGTGCCCCTCCCCAGACAACGCCATGACCCCCAACAAGCAACAACTATTCTGACTACAGGTTGGTTTTTACCATAGGTTAGTTTTGCCAGTTCTCGAACTTTATAAA